TTGCAAGGGATCTTACCAGCTCTTAAACCGATCAAATTATAAGGATTCATTTAACCTTGAAAAGTATCTTTGAGCCAGTTTTTAGTCTGTGTAAAGGAGTTGACAGGGCTTTAAGCCATTTAGAAATCACCGCTCTACGATTTATGGAGCTAAACTGGGTCCGACATTTATTGAAAGGGGGGGGAATAGTATTCTACTTATTTCTACTTATAGGTTGGATGTCTCATTCTTCAGCTAAACGGGGCTCATTTCTCTAGGAAGCTCTACCCATCGTCCTCGGGTTTCGGTTCATGCTTTATTTTATTTTTTTTATTTTTTCGGCTTTGAGTCAATTTTATTTCTCACCTGCTTACTGTTCTTGCTCGCATCGGGCTAAGGCCTTGGTATGGCATTGATCGGATTTGATCGAATCTTCCTTCGTCTCAGATAGAGTGGAACTAAAAGAGGAAGACCGAAGGCAAGAGCCTGTCAGCCTTACGCTGCACACTGTATTTATTAAGCAAAGCCAATAATGTTATGCTTATCCAGCCATGAGTTCGACACGTGCTGCTACTTTATGCGAGGAGATGTGTCAACTTAGTTCTGACTGCGTGCTAGCTTGGCTTCGCTTTGCAACGAAGTGGAAGAAGCATTCTGGTCCACGCCTGTAACTCGCCCATGTTACCGTCAATCTACTGCTAATCTTCCATTGTGGTTATGGTGAATCCAGACCCAGACAAGCGTTTGTCTCGTCCCTTGCTACAGTACAGATACAGCCTTAATCTGGCTTGATGCGGCGGGAGGTACTTGGCAAGAAACGTGCTTGCGGTGAAGCCTAGATTAGATTAAGAATTCTACGTTTGCAGTGATAGAAGCTTGGATTCCGAATGTTGGAATCTGAGATAAGCGCTGCTCATATTATCTAATCCGCTCAACTCGCAGCGCAAATGCGAAAGCGAAGGCATACTGTTAGAAATGCAGGGCTTGACCAATTGGCCTTCTCCATCATTTTCTTTTACGTATTATATGGACTTACTTTCATTCCAACGCTTTCTATTTTAGGGCTGGCCTGTTTGACTTGTGTTTGGAGACAAGGAAGGAGGACACGGCATTCCGTTATCTCAAGATCAAGAGAAAGGTTCGCTAGGCGTTAAGTTCTGATTTGTCGTCGAAGGCAAGGAGTAGACATACGTAGTACGTACTAGTATCATATCTCACCGCTGAAGTTTATCTATTCTTAGCTCCGTTCACGGTATACCTAACACGCATGGAAAGAAAATACGTAGTATGAAGATGATTCAACGTTCTCAGTAAGGAATAGGGAATCCTGGAAGGCCTTGGATTAAAGATGTAACTCAGAGGGGGTTCTCTTTCGGATTTGGAAAAGAAAGAAGGCGAAGAGTGAGAATTCTCCGCACTTTCGCTTTCAATGCCAATACTGACAGATGAGACTAATATAACTGCGCGGAAACTGAATTTAATAATATTCTTTTTGTTCACCGGTATTGAAGCAGAGGTAGTCTTTTTTTTTACCGTTTCTACGGCCCTTATATCAAGACGAGCAAATTGAAGCTGACTAGCTGAAATGATTAAGAATCTTGTTCGTGGATTTTCGCACGGTCAAGTGCGAAACAGCAGCGGAATACTGATATCCAATATATATACACATATATTTATATGCACATCTGATAGAGCCATTGATTACAAGTTGGTGCAGGCGACAAGTGATGTTTAGACTCGCCTGCAAAACAAGCGAAGTAGTATATGTGCATTGCAGCCTGTCGAGCTATTGAAGCCTCATTTACTGATAAACAATATGATTAGTATACTCACGTATGCTTTGAATTCTAAATACAATGTGAAATCTGGTTTATTTAAACTTATTTGCATGGAAGTGCTATCCACGAACAGCCTTGTACTTGCGACAGGTTCTCCAGCTCCAGATCCTTAAAGTTGGAATTCAGACGTAGACAAAGACCAATCTACAATAGTGACCGCGAATGAAAAAAAAAAGAAACTCTACAGCGAGACGGCAGATTTTTCCTCGAGCGAGCTGTGGGAATGTATGCACCAGGTCACGTGGCTACACTAGGTACATAGGTAGCCTTGGCACCAGCATATAGCTCTCCCTCAGCTAGTATAGCTGAGTCTCTTCAGACTTAACGAATACAACTAGTACCACCCATATATTCGTACTTCTCACTCGGTACCTGTAATACCGACACGAGCCATGATTCGGTGTGCTGTCATCAAACCTGCGAGCTGTTACCAGGACTTTGACAGCAATTACGCCTATTGCAACATCAAAGACCAAACCATTCCCGTTGCCAGGTTTATATAGTTGCTAGAGTTGGCAATAGCGGCAAGTCCGGTGAGGCTCAACTCTCACATACAGATTTATGAATTTTGAGAGTGGAAAGAATGCGAGGTAACTCGATTCCCACGCCAGGAGAACACAATGTTAGGAAGCTGCTGACTTCCAGCTACTCAGGAACATCTGGACCCTTGTGTAATTGTAGCAGAGCCGGGGATTGAGCTGTCAAAGGAACAAGGACTACAATGAAAGGCAGGAACTTCAAATAGGAAAGCTCGGGGAGCCTCGTACGATATTTAGGATGTGAGACTGCAGGTAGTTTGGGATCCCGGATATCTTTGACCTATTGAAGATTACGATAAATATTAGTGGTATTTGATAATCTTCCGATTCTCGTAAATTGTTGCAAGGAAAATCAGACATGAATTTTCTTCAGATGTAAGCCGCGATTAGTATAAGATCACCGTCTCCCTTATTCTGAAATCCAATAATTTCTATTGTCTCTCTTCACAGTATGTCATTTTCAAGCCATCTATAAAGAAGGACCGATCAAGATAGATTTACCATTGAAAGCTGAAAAAATAAATGACAGCTGCCATTTTTATTGTTATTATCAAACTGATCATTAATATTGTCGGATCACTGAGGGCCATTGTGGCCATGATGGAAGTGGAAGGTACGAGAGGCCTTAAGCTTGGCAGTGACACGTGAGGATGGCAAGTGCACCCGCGGTTCCCATAACGAACCGCCACAATCTTCCATAGCAATACCAGACATTACCAACACAACAATCCAACCAATTGATACGAGACTAGTCTTATATCACAAACACCTGTGTTACCAACAAGTATCGTCTCGTATAGTGTGCTGCTTCAATCGATAAGACTCATACTTTAATAAAGTTAATGCATTGCCTCTGCTAATTTATATTTGGCGTCCATTCTGTTAAAAATTGTAGTATTATAAAGGAGACCACTGGCTTCTGACTTCGATTAATCTGATCTCCAAACATGAATCATGATTATCAGCAGTGACACTTTATATGCTAAGTGCCTGTTGTATTCGCAGAGAGGTCGGGGTACGCTTCGCTCTACGTGGGCCATAAGGGGTAGCTTAAATTGAATTCCGTATTTCAGGTAAAAAAATCAGAACTTTCGCTTGATATGTATTGATGTATGATGTTCACGATTTGTATTTGTATTGCAGTATAAAGAGACTGTTCCCGTGTTCGAGGAGTTTAATTATTAGATCGAAACTTGCATCCGCGTCTCCTCGCTTAATATATTCTTTACAAGTGTCCAATGTCTATCAGGACGAAATTTCTGCTTCGTAGTTCTAGTGCAAGTTTGAATTCATATTCCCTCAATCTTTACTGCTGTCGTTGATCTTCTCATTGCTATATCATCTTCAGCTCTTTATTCCAGCTTTGAGCTGACATCTGTTTACCGCCACTGCCAAAAGATCTACATGTACAGCCCAATGGCTGCAAGAGATCGCCGCCGACACGTGCTGAGAATAAAAACCAATTGATGCCCCAAGTTTTCGGTATGGTGGTGTCATTTCTGAGGTCTTTAATGTTGAACATTCGGTGATGGCCGAACTTGATGAGGTTTATATTGCAACTCCAGAGGCCTCTCTACTGAACAACCATGATGAATGAAAGAAGCACACCACGTGAGTCCTGAATATTTAAATTACTATTCACTCTAAAAACATTTTAAAACTGTATTCGATCAGTTCTCTTCGCATTAGGCAAACAGAGAGGCAACTAATTTGCAAATAAAGCTCAAGCTCCGTCGGGAGGGAAAGAAGAGTCATCGTATCGAAGCCACCACATTTCGAAATCTTGTAGGGTTTTGGACTATCATTCCCTAATCTAAAGCTTGTTATTCATGCCCCATTCGTTCTGTTAAAGAACAGAGTCTCCTGAGTCGTTTGAATCTTTATATTTATGCATTAAGCCTTATATGGTTGGAATATCTGAGTCAATATTTTAAACTTAATTATAAGGCTATTAACTTTCCTAGGATATTCTTGAAGTTGCATGACGAGATTTGTTATCTAGGAAAGGGCGAACGAAGCTGGGTCCTTAGAGTACAATAGCCTTCTAGATCTCTCCAGCCATGTTTCCGCTGATAGTTCACCCGCCTCACCACTTCCTCACTCCTTTTGCTCCTCTATCCTTTCATATCTTCAACCTCCCCTCTTTTTCAATTTCCAACCTTCGTCTTACATTCATTCATCTTCTTACCTAACCTTCCAAGTTTTCTCGGACCTCCCGTTCCTATTCTCCTCTAATCAGACACCCTTCTTTAAACAAAGAAAACCAAGACAAATCCAGACTGCAAACAAAACCAATCTAATCCAGCTCAGTTCAGCTCAACTTAATTCAACTCAAACCCCATTCTCCCTCCACAATAAACTCAATATCAAAACCTTTCAAACAACCCATCGTCAGCCTCAAGCTCCATCCAGTACCTACGATTCTATAATAAATTCCTTATATCCAGTCCAAGTTTTTCGGCAAAAAAATTCTCCAGAGAAAAAATTTCGAAAAATCCGATCGATCGATACTTCCCTAATCAATTTCAATTTCATTGCACCCTGCCCACTACTAATTACCGCCAGTCTCCTTCAGGAGGACCGCGTATCATAAACCAGAAAAAGAGAGGAAGAAAAACATCTTAACCACTCCCATCTGATTGTGCTACCTGCGAAAGGCGCCAAGGGTCGGTCGTCCACGATCTCCTTTAATCCCCCAAGTTCCCGCCCAATTAATGATATCGCCCGAAAAACGCACCAGCTCATCTTCTGATTCAAAGCATTTGGCCCATAAGTCCAATTTATCTTTCTTTACCACATCCGTTGGAATAAGCATCTGCATCTCCCAATATCCCCGCCTAACCCACGAGAAGCGTAGCGCTTTCTGAGGCTTTCGCATCCATAACTCTGAACTCATATAGTTCACGATGACAGTTTCATCTTGGTTCCACAAGAATATTCGCCTGCTAACACCCGACTCCAGCTTTAAAAGAGATCTCGGGATGTAGGCTTTGCGTATCTTTTTCATCTGCCACTTGCTCGCTTTAATGGCACAATACCAACTCCCTCCTTCACCCTTCCAGATATCAGGTTTGTTTACTATTTGAATTATTAGCTCCGCGTGATAAGTTACGATGTACGGAGTGTATAGATTTAACTAACCCATATAAACGCCAGGTCCTAATTGAGTAGGGCTTGCGGATTCCGTTACGTGTAGCTTATCATGTTCATATAGCTTATTATGTTCATTGATTTTCTCAGCCTCTTCCTATCATTCGCGTAATTAACACAAGCCTATATTATATAAACCAATTGAAACTTACTTTGGAAACTGTTGCATAGCCGATGACCATTTTTCCAAACCAAAATCCGTGAGCTTCGTTGAAGAGAAAGCTCAAGGCTAGCAAGGTCGCGAAGGTAAACGTCGATCGCAGCATCATGCTTATAGCTAACGAAAAGGGAACAAGCTTGCAAGAAGATGACGAATAAAACCCAAAGCAAAACAATGCGAGCTAGACGAAAAGGGAATATGCTTGTAAAGGAAGAGGATGATGAAGTAACCTTGAAAGCAAATGCAAGAAGAAATTTATAATATACACCTTTCTCTTATATCGCATTTGAAAATTCTACTTCGGCTATAAATACTTATGCGGCTAATAACCATCAGCCCACTGGTTATTACGGAGGTACAGAGGTAAAGTATCGCATCCATCGTCGCCTCACGGAGCAGCCACTTTTCTTTACCTAATTGGATTCTGGTAAAATGAGGCTCTTCGAGATTCCGTGCCTAGCGGTCACGTTATTGCATGTTGTGGGCCCAAGCCAGCAGGCCCCTAAGGTGCACAGACCACTGGAAGAGGAGGATGTAACCTCGCGTTGCACATAGCTCTCGAGAGCAATCCACCAACCTTTGCAACTTCATTACTTACCATACCTTTACACAAGTGGGTTACAAATAGTAGCTGCGGATCGACGAGGGTAACGGAATTTAACCGCTGTACCTCCGTAAAAATTTTATTTTTTTGAAATTTTTACATCAAAAATCATCTCAAATGTGAATTATTTATAATATTGCAATCCCCCTTTCCAATTTCAAAAGATCAACGTACCGAGATACAGCGATTATATCTCATGTTCTGATCCACTATGTAAACTAGCTTACTTGGTCTATACATACCTTCGCGATCTTACCTATCGTCGACCTTGGCGATACAAAGCGGAGACCGTGAGGGTATAGCCCAATAAGCTAGTCTCCATAGTAGTTCAGAACATACAGGATTATATAACCGCTGTACCTCCGTAATTACATATAATAATAGATCGGATTAGATCTGAGTGGTTCGGATCCTTGAATACCTAGTAATTCAAGAGAGAGAGCGAACGCTAGTCGTTTAGCGTACTTGGCAAATAGGGGGAATTAATGGTTACGCCGCTCCGGGAAGCGGGCCCATATCGAAAACGTATTTGGAGTGTCTCATCCATTAGTACTAGAATTTGCTATTTACAACTTTCAATGTTAGTATGATTCTTCTGAACCATGGATGCTAAACGAAAACTTGGTCCTAAATCGCCTCTCAAAGAGTCTCATCTATTGGACGCTCCGAAATCCTTTATCTTCTAAGGAGCGCGCTCCTCGAGCACGGCCTGGGAAGAAGCCCAAGACATTTGCCTATTATAAAACTGGAAAAGACGCTTACAACAACTCTTTTGCAGCTTATACACCTCGACCTCCTATTATATACCCGTAGATATTTAGATCTGAAAAACACACGGTCGAGGTAATGCTATTCCTCCATTTTTATAAAATCGCATAGATAATCCTTTTGCCCGCTTACCCGAAACATTCTTCAATAATGTTTTGTTGCTCTATGATTGACCGAAAATAAATGGTTTTTACCGCAAAGGTCCCCCCGTCGCGAAGAAAGCAATTCAATAAAGGGAACGCATGTCGTCGTTCCCGGAACGGCGTAACCATTAATCCTCTTTATTTGCTAAGTGCGTCAGACGGCTAATCGTCGGCTCGCTTAGGTGGGCCTCCTTACATCCTTTCAGTCTATTAGCGTTCGTTCATTTTCTTGAATCACTACGATATAACACTTAAATTTACACGGTGCAATTCGGTGCGGTATAATGCAGTATACATTCTCCTTATATCCATCGTATATATACAAGATTTATATGATAATGTACCTTGAGGCAAGCGGGGGTTATTCAACGGACTTTCTTTAAGAAGACGATCATTAAACCGTCTATTGCTAGGTATAGTAGAAGGAGAGCAAGGTGCACTGGCCAGCCTTGGCACTGGTTCCTACTACAACCTCGTCCCAATTCCTAGTTCAAGAGAATACAAGTCAAGTCAACCACATCATCAGAACTGCTTCTTCCTGTGACCTAGTATTATCACCAGACAAGTACTAGCAATATCGTCTAAAGTTAGTACTAACCTTTATTCGAGAACAGCTTAGCTAATAGACCGTCCTATTAAAAAAGATCGTCTTATGACCGTCCTATAGCTATCCCCGTCTAATTATTCAGAACGGGTTTCTGGAAAACCTATTTTTAAGATCTAACACAGTCTAATAATCATTCCAATCAAGATATGATGAAACACTTTTTTTGAAGATGCGGTTTTTGATTATAATTTCATGAATACGTGCCAAGATATTTCTCGGTACCGTGGCCACAGCTTATATTAATCGTCCGCTCGCTTAGGTGGGGCCTCCTTTCATCCTTTTAAGACACGCCTTAAAAGATTTAAAACCGGGAACGATCGATTCAATCAAAATTTGCCCCAGTGAAGTTTGATTACCACGCTTCATAAACCTAGGGGTAAAGGAGACGGAGGAGCGGGGTGGGGGGTAGGAAGTGGGAGGAGGCAAAAGGAAATGGAAGTAGCAAATCATTTTACTTTCTAATATAAGTTCTCGAGGACGGTCGTCAGTCCGGGGACGCTCCCAAGATGGCCCCAAAACGCTTGGAAACAGATCCCAGGATAGTCTTTTCGTAAAGAGACCAACTTCTGTAAACGACGATTGAATCGATTTAAAAGGGTTTTGATATAATAGTAATCTTTTCACGAAAAGACAAGCTCTTACAAACGACTGTTTAATCAATTAAAATAGTTCTATTTCAGCTACGATTTAGATAATTCGAACCGTTTATTTCCAGAATCTACTCCATCTCAGGTATCGGCCTAGGGTGATCACACTACCTTAGAGGCAGGGAGGAGGTTATTTGGACGGTCCACGGGCCGTCTTCGGACCGTCTCTTTTAAAGATGGTCCGCGACTTTTAAGACGATTAATAGACTACTAGTCGTCAAGACCTAAAAGAAGACTATACTTGATAAATGACGGTTTGAGTGATCTGAACCGTAATTGAAGTGCGTCTTTTCGCGAAAAGACCGTCCCGGGACTGGTCTTTCCAAAAAAAAAAAAAAAAAAAAAAAAAAAAAACCCAAACTTCCGCAAAAGATGATCCAATCAATTAAATCAATTCCATTTCAACCAGGATTCAAATAATTTAAATCATTTGTTTTCAAAATCTAATCATATCTCAGGTATCAATCAGCCTGGGATGATCCACTACCTAGCCATGCCAACCTCTTCGGACTATCCTCAAAGGAGATCATCATCGGATAACCAGCTAACCGTTTATGTTTGAATAACCCCCTACTTGCCCCTGATTTCAAGGTAGCTATAGTACAGCGTGAAGGTGAGGCCCAGATGGTGTAGCGAAATACAAGAGCAAGGGGCAGGATTAAGGGTGGGTATTCAAAGATACCTAAAATAAAGGTCCTGAGGCGCTACTTGCTGGATCGCATTATCTCCTCGTCCAATTTCAGAACATTAATCTCCATTAAAGACAGATGCTACCTAATCGTATACAAATGCCCATCTGGGGTAGAGCTCCTGATCAACTCCTTTTTGAAGAGTAACCATCAGAACGCACAGGCTACAAGCTTCCGGCTATAACTCGACGGCCAGGTCCCTAATCTAAATTACAGTCTCTTAATCCTCCCATTGGCTTTTCATCTCATCTCCCATAATCATGGCTCTTGTATTCAGCCTAGCACTCCAGACCATATTCTCCGTCGTACCCATCTCCCTCAAGTTGCCGAGCCCGCCGCCACCCACGACCTGGATATCCGAGTCGCCATTCACATATCCCTTAGCTCTGTGGTGCATGAAGACGGGTGGCGTAACGGTGAAACATCTATCAGACAGATCAGCTTTCCGCGTTCAGAATTCCTTTCGCTTGCCAAATGTTCAAATGCCATCCGAGAAAATGATACGCCTCCAATGCCACTCAAGTACTCACCTCATTCCAAGCCTCCCAGGATCCCTCCCCCATCTGCACAATCCAGCGAGCGCGTTATCAAACGGCCCAACCAGGTGATCTACACTCAGATCATATAGAACCTTCCTCGCGCCCTCCAGACTCAATGCATACGCGAACGAGCAGATCGGGCCTCCCGTAACATGGACCCAGCGCGTACTCGGGTGTGCCGTGTAGTTCTGAAAGCCGGCCGTGTGAGCTGGCGGTGGAACAGTCGGGTCATCATGTATGGTATACTTTTTCGACAAGTAGACGATGTCAGGGTTTGCAGCGTCCATGGTAGCGTACTCGGGGAGGGTTTCGGGAAAGACTTCGCCGCAGTGGCCCAGCCAGAGAATATCCCAGTCATCGCCGTAGGGGTAGGTAGAGGAGGGGTTTGAGGAGGATTGCAGAGAGCTTGTGCCGGCTGCGATGAGCTGGAGTTGGTCCTTGAGCCGGACGTCCCAGTCCATGTCGTCCTCCATGATTAGGGCGGTGGATATGCCTTCTTCTACTATTCTGCGTACCGTCTTGTCAGCAGCTATATCTTAGACATGGCGGAGGCTAAACAGACTTCCTGATTGCATTCATGTGTCCCCTCCAACTCCCCAAGTTAGTTTCCCACAGCTGCGTGCGATTTACACCATACGGCAGTGCTTTATCCACAACGCTCTCGCCCCGCACACCATCCACCCATTCAATTTTAAAGCCCGTCAGGCTGCTGATCAGCGCCAATGCGTCCCTCTTATCACTGCGCTCTGCTAGTCCAATCGCGAACACCCTCTCGAAGCCCAGCGTAGCATTGGTAACGGGGTCAAAACTCGATCCTGGGTCCGAGGACGTAGTTTTCGTGTATGAAGAGATGACATGGGACGGGTAGTCGCTCAAGGAGTACGGCTTGGAGTAGACGATGAAGAGGACGAAGAGGCCGACAAGAATGCCGACGGCGAAAGTTAGAGTGCGTTGTTGGAGCATGGTGACCGTCGGCATTGATTTATATTTGAGTGGTGGGTTTCGATACGAAAGCCATCGGATGACGCGCTTAAAGGTTTCGTTTTGGTTTTCGCTGGCGTTGAGCGAGTGAGTGAGTGAGGGAGTGAGGGAGTAAGTGAGGGAGTAAGTGAGGGAGTAAGTGAGGGAGTAAGTGAGTGAGTAAGTGGGTGAGTAAGTGAGTGAGTGAGTGAGTGAGTGAGTGAGTGAGTGTGTGAGTTACTGAGGTTGTGTTGTACGAGAAACATAGCTGTAGGTTCCGCAATGCGTTTAAGTGGGTCCCGCTACCGCGCCTTCCTCTTTAGATCCGTGCCACCTTCGGGACCAATGACTTAGCTTCGCACGGAAAGCTGCATGCTAGTCAACAAGCACCGCAGAAAGTGGGAAAAATAGATTAAACGGCGTGATCTTTACATGTTACCTGGTCAGCTTTACTCAAACTTGGGGATTATGAAATGAGAGGATTGCGGAGCACAGATGACGGGATTTGAGTCGTACAGAGAATATATTTTGAATCTCCGTAAACTTTAGAGTTGAAAGATCCCCAAGCCATCGAAAGATGAGTTCTTTGTAAAAGTACCACCAATGCCGCTGAAAATGCTCAAATCCACCATATTGCTCGTTGATGTCTAACGCTATACAGAATGAGTGCCGTACTCCACCGCATGGCTACACGCGACCACCTATACCCAGTTCCGATGCTATGCACGTAAATGTAACGTAATTGCAACCCCCCTGATTTCTTATGCAGCTTCATCCGTGTTCGTAATCGTATTCGAGCCTGCTGCATCCATACACAAGAGACCAGTGTTGCCAGACACGTTGGCATACATCGCGAGCATTTCCTCACAATAGGTGTCCAGGTTGATAATTTTGAGCTTCCCCTCCCACTTTTTGAGGAAGTCTCTCCGCCGGTATTCGAAACTGAGGCCCGAAGACCAAGCGACAATCTCCACTTTCCAGTTCTTTTGAAGAGCTCGTTCGACCATTTTCAGGAATCCTCCCGAATATTCGGCCTCAGCTGCATCGCCGCTGGCAAGAACAATGGTCGAAGGCTTCTCGTTATCTACCAGACTTTCCAAAATCTTCATGTGTAAAATCTCATCCACCCCTTGCTCCTGCATGACCAGTCGAGCTGTTGTGCACTCTGATGCGCTCGAATATCCGGAAGTGACGAAGCCATAACCCGTTCCACGTTTCGCCTTCCTCGGTTTTGTAGTTTGCCGGGGTTTAGCCACCCTTGCTAAAATATTGACCTCGTACTCAAGCAGCTTAGCGTCTGCTAGAAAGCTCGGCTGTTTCTCTTGCGAGTCCGCTTTAAAAATCATCGAGCCAAGTACCACACGTCTAGCAACACCTCTACCTCTTTCGAGAATGTGGGCAAGAGAACGGAAGGCAAGAGGCGGCTGCCTCACACGTGCCTCTTCTGAAAATTTTCTTTCCAGCTTAAGCTTGTTAGCAAAGCCAATTATTATGTTGGACAGGTCGACGAATATGTGAATTCCGCCGGGCATGGTGTCTCCTAACGGCGGGCACCGGCTTATCTGTGTCGCCTCATTTGGGAAGTTCATGGCCAGTTTCTCCAAGAGCTGGGTATTTTGCTCCTCAGGTGTAAGAATATGAAGAGGTCGAATGATATTGTGATCGAAATAACGCTTCAATGGGATTGGCTGAGGTGATACCGGTTGGAACAGCCTGACGGAAGCTCGGTCAACGGGTAGTTTCCGAGAAGATAGTATAGAGCTCGGTTTATAAGACTTTGCAAAAGTTGAAAGTTCCTGAGGAGTACCGAGTATTCCTTTATTGCCGGTACCAAACCCATTGCTATGCGTAAAAGGCTCTACGGCCAGTGTTCGAGTAGGCGCAAGAGCCACCCTCCCTATAGTATCTTCCGTCGGGCACCAATCTTTGTTGCAAAGGCTGCGCCGGCATCTTTCGTCCTCCCATCGAACCTCCTTCTTTAAGTCCCAAATTTCCAGATCGTCTAGCTCATTATCTTCCTGGGCGGATGTTGGTGGCGTTGATTGACCGAGCGTACCCGCAGACAAAGACGAACTTGTCGAAAGACGTCTTACTGTCGGTGGGGGAATATCCAAGGGTTTACCAAGGAATATGAACAGTCGGTCAAAGTCCCCCAAGTTCTTGGGGACATCTGATCTGGGATCGTATCGTGCCAGGTCGGGGACGTCGAGTTCGGTGGCGAATTCGGATTCGGATTCGAAACTTGAATTGAAGGCATGGGAGAACTTGCGCGCAAGCCTGAAGTCCCAGACATTGGCATCGCTGCTTTCCGAATCTGATTCCATGGCTATTGTTCGGTAGGTATGGGTGAGAGTATGTATAGGATATAGATTACGGGGGTGGCTCTGCGTGTTGATGTTAGCCTAGCGATCCCTCTCCAGAAAATGGACGAATGTCTCTTACGTTGCAGCAAGGCGCTGAGTAGCGGGCGTGGTCATGTCTAGAGAGAATTCTGTTGCTGGTAGGTATGTTTGTGTGGTGTGGTGTGGCGGTCGTTGTTTTTCGTTTCAGAGAGTGCGCGGGCTAGTCGTAGTCAAATATTAGACTCCATTTCCATGGAGGCGAGTCCGGTGGGGGCAAAAGGGAGGGGCGAGGCTGAGCCGAGCCGAGTTGATGCGGGCCCGGGGGAACAATCTTCCGGCTGCTTCTACAAGTATTAATATACGTAGTATAATCGTCGGCTCGCTTAGGTGAGCCTCGACGATTATTTATTCTGCCTTATTTCCATCTCTCTCCTCTACCACATCGATATGATCAACGTTCTCCCACCTCTTATTATAACCTAAGCTTAAATCGCATGTCAAAGTTACATCTTCATTTTACCATCTGTAGGATAAGTAACAGCCTGTCTACCTACTATATAGACATTGATTTGCGAAGATACCACTTCGGTCTATTCTGACATTCGGTATTACAATGCTATGCCTTCTCATTTCATCATCCTAACAATGGCATTCTGCTTATGCCGAGTCTTGTCTTGAACGGGCGTGAGAGTGAGGCGATACATTCAAATGCAGAAGTCTCTGCTTATATGGATGGAGTCTAGCACTCCAGATGCGGATGCGCATGAAGACGCGGATGTGCGTAAAGATGCAGACGTGATGGATTCACTTCCTCACTCTCGCCTGAATTTTCCATTTCATTCACTGGCATTCCTTGTCTCAAAACGTCCCAGGATGCGCGTCAAAGTTTCTACAGTTGCCAATCTCCAAACTTGCCGTATAATTCTATTCTGCGCACATTTCATTCCACGCCTTGCAACCAAGCAAACATATACACACTCTCACTCGAGTCTTCTTGTGACTTGGAAAACACGGCTACGAACTTAGAGGACTGCAAAACTTGGGAGCAAAATCGGGCCACATAAACTGTTTGATGGACGGGGTTTTGAGTGTTAATGGTCCCGTTAAGACTACGTTCCATAGGAAATTATAGCGAAGATATTGACGATTTTGGATCTGAATTTTGGATCAAATCTGATTTGAATTCAAATCACGGTTATTTTACAGCTTGGGGAAACCGTCGCGAGAGAATGCTCGCTTTCACGATGAATGATTCTGGTTAGCCAATCTTGCAAAACACTATGTCGATTACTGCCAGGCAAGCGAGGAGGACATTGTGTTTCGCGACTTTCAATCAAATTTCTTCCTTCCAGTGGCCGAGGAGGTTGCGGAGGAGGTCGAATCGATTTGTGGAGGGGGTTTTTTGGAGGTGATGGCAAGGAATATGACAGTGTGAGGTAGAGGTAGAGGGAGGGGGAGCTGAAATGGGATGTGCAGGTGAAGTGTAGCAATCCTGACGACGACGGGGTGTCGATATGGGGGATGGAAGGGCATCGGTATTGGCCTTATCTTCCGTTGGTGGAAGCTGGCGAAGGAAGGTAGTTTCGTCCATAGATTGGAGGGTTGGAATCAAGGAGTCGGGGAGACTTATAGAAGAATTTACAGCTCTGAGTAGATACCACAAGTATGATATGTAGGATTTTCGATATATATGATACAGAAGCGTTTATTTACATCATCGTTCGGAGTCCCAAAACGAGGCCACCACGCTTAAATCCTGGGTCGTCTCTCCTTCTCACGGACAGCCTCGCGAATCTTCGCATGCCATTTTGGAAATCGGTGGCGTTCAAACTCCGGCATTCTCCATAGAGAGAACAATGCAGTCCCTTTCTCGCCACGGAGAATCGAGGTCTGCAGCTTTACGATATCACGCACGATCTTGTACGTATCTTCGTCGAAATCCAGAGCAGCATCCTCCATTTCACCAAGAAGATCAAGAATGCCGCGGAAATCGTCGTATCGGTAGCGGTAGATGCGGAGGAGCTCATTGTAGAGTTGGGTGCTTGCGCCTAGGACGTGCGAGATGAAACCTAGGGATTTGATTTTGGGGAGTATGGAGAGGGCAAGGGGTGATGGCTTAGCGAAGGATCGGTCCAGGAGGCGGAGGCCGAAAAGGAGGTAGGATGGGTAGAGAGGGCCATAGAGGGCGAGGGGGGAAACACCATCTAATGGTCCTTTAGGAACAGCCGGGATAGTAGATTCGACCGCTGAATCCTCTATCGGATCTTCTCTTACCCCTTCTGATAGTCCATCAGTTTGCTTGGGCGCCGGGGCCTGATTCTGCTCTCTTTTTGCTCTCAGCTCCGCCTTCTTCCACCCTTTTACCCTTTTTGCCTTGGTCGGCGAGTCTTCTTGTGACGGCTTCACCCCCGATTTTGGAGCATCGGCCAGTCCCAACTTCGCAATCAATGAGAATACCTCCTTCTCCATGATTTCCATCAACTCAAAATCGGTCTTGGCAGAAATCATCAAAGCCTCCACCCTAGCTCTCTCCGGCTCCCTGAGAGTTTCCAGCTGCTCCGTATCCAGCAATCTTCGAGTAGTCTCACCTGCTTCTGCTTCGTCCTCCTCCGCGACGTAACCCATGGCCTTCGCAGCTGCAGCTCTGAGTGGAGACGGGTACCTCTTGATGGCTGCCTCCATTTGTTCTCGACTCAGAACACTCGTTTTCATAGCAGTCGCAAAAATATTCTCGAGCTTTAGTCTCGCTTCCCGCTGATTTTCTAAGACCGGTTTATTGCTCATAGTGCTCGGTACTGCAAAACTCGAACCCTCGTCATGCTGTTCAGCCCGTCCCGAAGCGCTGTAAGCATCATTGAACCCATCTGATCCAATTCCTGGAGAACCAGAGCGCTGAGATCTTTGGAAGATGTCCGAAAATATCTTCTGGAAGGCTGCTCTTTCGGTTTCGGTGATTGTCGAGTTGGGCGATTCGGGCTTCATTGTCAGATCTTGAATGTCGTCCGAGCTCCCTAAAAATATATCTTCGTCTTCCAGTTCCTCGTCGAATTCGATCGGCGAGTTGTCAGCGTCAAATTGGTTGGCCACCGTGCGCCTTGAAAGCGATGCATATCGCGGTTTCGTAGGTAAAGTAATGCCCGGCGACGGAGACGAGTTCAGGCCCGAGGGTCTGTGATAGACATTTCTTTTGATCTTGAAGCCCTGATTAGGCTCAGGATTGTCTGGCACTGGAAAGTCTGCTCTAATGTAACGAGGTCCGATGCCCGTGTCAATTCTTACTCTCCGGATGCTGGGTCCCTCGCAGGGCGGTGGAGTATCGAGAGCATCTGGAGTAATGGCAGGGCCGCAACTGGACGCAGGTGTATCTGGACCGGGGGTCTCTGTTGTAGTCCTCTCGTCTGTATTTTGGGCTCGGATTGTGCAACTCAAGTGCCTTGGAAGTACAGCAGATCGGTATCTGGCTCGATATACAGGTTTCGCTCCTGTCCATGCCCAGCTGGAAAGGGTTTTGGTCTGGTAGAGAAAAGGCATCGCTGTTGATGCAGCTGTCCCAGCTTCAGCGATGGCTCTCGAGGCGAGCATCACGGCGGTGGCGGATCTTTTGCTATCGCAGCATGGAATCCCGGCCGTTGAATATTCTACTGTTGTGAATGGTGTAGTTGCTACGGTATGGGTGTCTTTCATTGAGCTCTGGCCAACAAAATAATAATGCGATAAGCTTTGGGCCAGCCAAGATATTTTAAGCTAGTGAGACGCCTCGTCGCGTGCATCGACCGGTTGGACGCGCCATGTTCGTGTAGATGACCTTAACGATATTTCTCTCTCCTCAACAACCACAAACTTTCCATACGTCCTGCAAAACCCGACTACCGCAGTTTCAGTCCAAGACTATGGCGCCCGTAAAGAAGGAGAAAGAAGAAATGAGCGCTTTTGAGCGAAGCCGTCTCGCCAATATCGCCACAAACCAAGCAATCGTCAAGGACCTCTCCTCTGCCGCAGCGAAGATTGCGCCCAAACCCATCGCACGACCGAAATCCGCTGCTCCACGCAAAAAAGCGACGCCTGTAAAGAAAGAGATTACCAGACCCTCGAGGACTAGTTCACGGTTGGCGGGTATCGAGGCAGACAGCGAGACGCAGAAGCGCAAGGCCGAGGTGGAATATGAGTTTGCGGCAGAGCAGGCTAAGGCGAAGAAGCAGAGAGTTACGGGGGATCTGAACTTCAGTGATATTGTCGTGGATGGGAAGAAATACCGTAGGGATGAGGGGTTCTTGTCGGGAATTATGCGGGGTGCGCAGCCGAATGTAAGGACTTTCACTGAGGAGGATGTGAAGGAGACTACGGATGAGGGATTGAAGGCTTTGAGGGAGACAATGAGTGGCTTAGAGTTGTATGAGGGATATGAGCCGAATCGTAGGTCTCTTTACATCGTCAGGAGACAAGTTATGCTGATTTTTACAGAAATCAAAATCACTCCTGAGCGCATCTACTCGCTTGGCTTCCATCCTTCCGAAGACAAAGCACTGATTTTCGCGGGTGACAAGCTGGGGAATATGGGCATTTTCGATGCTTCTCAAACCGGACCAGAAGCCAAGGTCGAGGACAACGACGAGGAGGAGGAGGAAGCAGACACTCCCGAGCCAGCTATCACTGCTTTGAAGCTGCATTCGAGAACAATCACTTCGTTCGTCTTCCCGGCTGACGGAAACCACTTATTTTCAGCTTCGTACGACTCTTCAGTGCGCAAATTTGATTTGCAAAAAGGTGTAGCCGTGGAAGTCTTTGCGCCCGCATCAGCGGATGAGGAGTTGCCGATTTCATGTATATCTATCCCGGCTTCCGACCAAAATTTTCTGTATTTTTCGACGCTCGAAGGCTCGTTCGGTAGATACGATTTGAGGACCAAGCCTGCCGATGCCGAGATTTGGCAGCTCACCGACAAGAAACTAGGAGGGTTTTCCAGCCATCCGTTGTACTCGCATTTGATCGCAACAGCTTCTCTGGATCGAACTCTGAAGATCTGGGACCTGCGGAGCATCAAAGGGAAAGGAGAATCGAGAGCTCCAGCGCTCATGGGCGAGCACACCTCCCGGCTGTCTGTATCCCATGCTTCATGGTCTGCCGGAGGTCACGTTGCAACATCCTCATACGATGATACGATCAAGATTCACTCTTTCCCTCAGGCCGGATCATTCACGCCTGGGCAGGATTTCGACGATGATGCTATGGCACCCGCTGCTACTATCAAGCACAACAATCAGACCGGCCGTTGGGTCACGATTTTGAAACCCCAATGGCAAGAAAGACCTGACGATGGCATTGACAAGTTCGCTATCGGCAACATGAACCGTTTTGTCGACGTGTATAGTTCAAGCGGAGAACAGTTGGCCCAACTGAGTGGAGAAGGAATCACTGCTGTGCCGGCAGTTGCGCATTTTCATCCCACGAAGAACTGGGTTGCCGGTGGAACCGCGAGTGGAAAGCTGTGTCTTTGGATGTAATGTCGTACGTTATGTTCTTGCATAGGGAGGTAGGCAGGCATCTTTTGTTTGGTTTTGGTTTTGGTTTTGTCGATTACCGACCGGTACTTGGGGCGTTGACCGGAGCGGGAACACGGCGTCTCCAGGGCGTCGGACTTCGCTATTCGCTGTGAGGCAGAGCTCTCACTGCAGCTGGGTGCGGTGTGCTTGCTCGCTCGGACACAGTAGAAATTCAGCGATGAAGTGGCATAGGTCCTGGTTCTGTTGTAGCCAGTACTCGAGAGATAGTTGTCGCCCCTTGGATGCCTTGACATGCCGTCCAATGTGACTGTTTATCTATGCATTTTGAGTCAGCTGGTAAGCTGACAACAGGGCTGTGACAGCACGTCTAGAGGCATATACGTCTTGGTCTGTTTACAGTGTGGATGGGGGGGGGAGAGGGGGGGGGGAGGAGGGGGGGGGAGACCCAGGGAGAGACAGAACCTTAAAACGATTACTTACTTACCGTAACTTAGCGTGTCATCGAATCGTGTGCAGTCCCTATCCAATCCCGTGATCAGCCTGTAATGTCCCTGCTTCTCATCTGAATTTACGGAAAGCTAACCTCAGACAATTCCCAATATCTTCTGATCGGCTCATCTTCCTCTTCCACCACCCCCACCAAGCATGTGACTATCCTTGTTTCTCGGTTAGTGACCCGCGATCTGATATCGATACGGTACTCCGTACTTGCGATAGCCACAGCCACAGCCGCTTCAGTCGCCCAAGACGAGGCTTATCGATAACGCTTCATAAGACTGCGCGGCAGCTTCGCCTACCATCCTCCCTCCAGCAGCCACCACCCATCAGCAACAACACTGCCTCGAGCTGTTCGCTATCTGGACCTCACGACAAGAACTCGCCATGGCGCCAGAGGGACTCTCGAAAAAGCGCGTGGCGCGCAAGCTGACGAAGAAGAGAAAGGAGGGCCGCCAGGTCACAGTGGAGATCCCAGAGCGCTTCCGGGACGGCGACGATGCCGACGAGGACTGCACCGCGCTGCACGGCCGGAACGCCTACATGAATCAGTCTGTATTTGGTATGATAGCTGCGGCGGGCTCCCAGGTCGATTTCAATGCTAGATTCGACGGGGGTTCGAGCGACGACGACGATGAACCTGCGGGGGGGCCTGAAGAGTTGAGAGTGGATAGTAAGACGAGGAGGGGGAAGCTACCTGCGAAAGGAGAGGAGAACCATCGGACGAGGTTCTCGGAGAACAAGCTTTTGAGGAGCCTGTCCGGGCTGGGGTCGAGGTCGAAGTCGAGGGAGCCGAATAATGGTGCTGGGTCTGGATTACCCTCTATAGATCCTTCTTCTGAAGCTATTACGCTCAAGTCACCGAGTAAGCATGGGCACCCCAGGGATACGATGGTTATGAGCCGGATGTTGGAGGCTAAGGCAGAGCTGTCTCTGCGGCCGAGTTTTGATCTTCCTAGACCGAAACCAGGCCACTTGAGGGAAGGGGCGGTTGCAGAAGAGCCGGCCTCGAGTACTTTGGCGAAACAGCTGATGGATATCTTCGAGTTCGATGCTGCGGAAGATGTTATTGAAGGTACGAGACTGAACGGGAGCAAGAGCTTCCCAATTTCTGAAGGGACTCCAGGACACAAAAAGCTGACTTGTGTAGAATATCAGTGCTGGTTATTAAAGAGTGTCCTACTTCAAGGCTACATGTACATTACAACTAAGCACATATGCTTTTACGCATATCTGCCTAAGAAATCTGTAAGTGCTGGGCTTTGACGGAAGCTCGAAGGACCGGGGCTGACACCACCTAGAATGAAGTAGTCAAGTCGGGATACCTCTCGAAATCTGGTAAACGGAATCCAAAATACAACCGGTACTGGTTCAGACTGAAGGATGATGTTCTCTCCTATTACTCAGATCCGTCCGACTTGTACTTTCCATGCGGTAATATCGACTTGCGTTATGGAATCTCAGCGACAGTGGCGGACAAGGAGAAAGGGAAGGACGCTACACACTTCACGGTCGTAACACATCAGAGGAATTTCAACTTCAAAGCCGACAGCATACCGAGTGCCAAGGAATGGGTCAAGTCGCTGCAGAAAATCATCTTCCGTTCGCACAATGAGGGAGACAGTGTGAAGATTTCACTACCTATCGAGAACATCATCGATATTGAGGACAGTCAGATCATAGACTTTGCGGATACTTGCAAGATTCGGGTTATTGATAATGACGAGACCTACGCAATCGATGAAGTCCGTTTTCGATTCCTTTGAAGTTTTGTTTACTTACTAACCGAGCCTAGTACTTCTTCTCGTTCTTTAGTTTCGGGAAGGAAGCCTTGAATGTACTTCAGAAATTGGTTGAAGACACTACCGCTCAGCAAATACCGGAAGACGTCTTAGTTTCACCAACCCAAATAGATAGCACGCGGAGCTCTAGATCACGTAGCATTGGCTATACAAGACGGAATTCATTGCAGGGACCGAAAGAGAAAAGACCAATACAACCACCACCTCCCACTCAGACTGCAACACCACTATTGGAAGAAAGTGTCAAGGCTACTCTCTCACCTTTAGGTGCAGTCAGTCCCCGTGCTAGTACTGAGATCAGCCGAGCAAGTTCGGATCCATTCCGGAGGAGCATGGACCTCAAGAACTTCAATAGACGGAGTGTCGACCTGGGTAGAATCAACATGGATGGGGCTATCCGTAGCGTTAGCGCGAACAGGCGGAGCTCAAGCAGGCCCGGTCTTGATGAAAGACGCCACACAGAGAAACCAGGCTCGTCTGATTCCTTTGTTCACTCACTAGAAGAACCAGGATCGCCTGCAGCGGTACTCTCAACGAGTGACGATACGCAAGCGTCTGCCAGTCAGATACTGAGAGGATCGGACGTCTTTCTATCGCCAACTATCCGGCGCTCAGCGTCAGCGACTTGCCGAAGAGACCCCGATTCTAATAACGACGATTCGCGGTCTGACTCACCGTCTCGTGTTACAGCCAACACAGCGATGGAAGCCCCGAACCCGCGTCACACTGCCATGACAGGCTCAATGGCAGCATCAAATGCTGATCAAGTTGAGCCATCCTCCTCAGCGCCAACACTGCAAACTCTTGTAAAAGCTGGAGCCTACCCATTGCAACGCGCAGCTGGCTTTGCAGGATATCTCAATCGGCATTCCAAGCGTATGAGCACTTTGTTGGCGACCGAGTCTATGGGATACGTTGAGAAAGTCTCAGGCATGTGGAAAGGTGGGAAGAAACATTACGACGAGCCGCAAGGTCTTGCTCCGGAAGACAACATGTACGATGATGATGAAGATCACACCGCGTCGTATGGGGATCGATTCCGAGACCACTTTGCTCTTCCTGCGACTGAAAAGCTTCAAGCATCGTATTTTGGATATCTTCACAGAGTCTTACCTCTCTATGGCAAGATCTACATCAGCGATAGGTCGTTCTGCTTTCGGAGTCTTCTGCCTGGTACACGGACGAAGCTTATTCTACCATTGAAGGATGTCGAGAATGTTGACAAGGAGAAAGGATTCCGATTTGGGTACTCTGGGCTGGTGGTGGTTATCCGAGGACACGAAGAGCTGTTCTTCGAATTCTCTCAAGCCGATACTCGGGATGACTGCGCCATTACGTTGCTCCAGAATCTGGAGTCTACGCGATACCTCAAGGAATCTGGGCTGTTGACGATGGAGGAGAAGGAGAGCGCTCAAACTGCCAGTGATGAGCATAAGTCTCTCCAACAAGCTCGGATGGAAGGCTTTGCCGATCATGACGTGAAGATGCCGAAGACGGCTGAGGAGGCTAGAACCGATGGATCACCAATATTGTTCGACGACCCTAGAGCGTCCATTCTGAACTTCAAGCCCACAGAGTCTCTGCGGGTCACCTGCCTGACTATTGGTTCCCGTGGAGATGTTCAGCCGTACATTGCCCTCTGCAAGGGACTGATGGCGGAAGGTCACACAACTCGAATAGCCACTCACCGTGAGTTCAAAGATTGGATCGAGAGTCACGGAATCGCTTTCGCACCTGTAGAAGGAGATCCAGCGGAGCTCATGCGCATTTGTGTTGAGAACGGGATGTTCACCTATTCTTTCCTACGGGAAGCATCTTCCAAGTTTCGAGGGTGGATCGATGAGCTACTCTCTTCAGCTTGGGCTGGCTGCCAGGACAGTGATCTCTTGATTGAAAGCCCGAGTGCTATGGGAGGGATACACATTGCCGAGGCACTGGGTATTCCATACTTCCGAGCATTTTCCATGCCATGGACTCGGACTCGCGCGTACCCACACGCATTCGCAGTACCCGATCATAAGATGGGCGGCGCCTACAACTACATCACATATGTTATGTTCGACAACGTCTTCTGGAAAGCCATCGCTGGTCAAGTCAACCGCTGGAGACGGAAAGAACTCGGTCTTCAAGCCACGAGTCTCGAAAAGATGCAACCCAACAAAGTCCCGTTCCTGTACAACTTCAGTCCATCAGTGGTCGTGCCGCCGCTTGACTACAGCGACTGGATCCGCGTAACAGGCTACTGGTTTCTAGACGAAGGCACAGGCTGGACACCGCCGAAGGAGCTGACGGACTTTATCAAGAAAGCTCGGCATGACGGCAAGAAAATCGTGTACGTCGGCTTCGGCTCGATCGTTGTCCAGGATTCCGCGGCAATGACCAACACCATCGTACAATCAGTCCTCAAAGCGGATGTTCGCTGTATTCTCTCCAAAGGCTGGTCTGACCGCCTAGACAAAAAGGCTGCCAGTGCCGTCGAAGAACCTTTACCGGCTGAGATCCACCTTATCAAGTCTGCACCCCATGACTGGCTCTTCAAACAAATTGACGCTGCGGCCCATCATGGGGGCTCTGGAACTACAGGCGCTAGTCTTCGGGCGGGTGTGCCAACTATCATCAAGCCGTTTTTTGGGGACCAGTACTTTTATGGATCGCGCGTGCAGGATCTGGGCGTAGGCATCTATCTCAAGAAGTTGAATGTTAGCACATTCTCGCGAGCGATTTGGGAGGCGTGTAACAGTCAGCGGATGATTGTCAAGGCGAAGGTCCTGGGGGAGACAATCAGAAGTGTAAGTTCTTGCCCTGTTCTTTCGAGTGTCACGTGAATCTAACATAAGGCTCCCAGGAACACGGCGTCGACGCAGCTATCCAGTCCATCTACCGCGACCTGGAATACGCCAAGTCGCTCATTAAACGCCGCGACGGCAAGTCCAGCGACGAGTCTGTAGAAGACCCCGAGGAGAGCTGGACCTTCATCGGCGACGAGAAGGATCCTGCGCTCGTTAAGCGCATTCATGACTGGGATAGTCTCGCACAGAGCGGGTGGCTGGCGGGGAACCTTGGTACGGGGAAAAGTGGAACGACGACGGGGAGCGAGGGGAGCGGCGCGTTTGACAATTTTGAGAAGGACGATGTTGCCGCTTGAGGGATGGCATCGAGATCTAGCTAGATAAACGTGGGAGAGAGTGATACAGGGAGGGGCTGGTTCATTATGTGGTAACGGCATGGCGTGGCGTAGCGAGTTCTTTCGTTTCTCCTGCTTCGGTCTCAAGGGAGTCTGGCGGGGTTTTAGGGTTGGATTGGATGCTACCGATGACGCGATACGATACAATTATGAATATAGCGAGCTAGCGAGGAGTGCGGCGACAAATTTGTATTGAAGACGACAGACAGACAGACATTACCTACCTAACATTCTTGGGTCCTACGAGCGAAGGGGTGTTTGTATTCTTGAGTAATTAGGGGTGGTATAGTACAGACTTTCCTGGTGCATAGCAGTCAATAGCTATATAAGGTACTTCTGTCCCTTTAGACTCTGCGTAGATAGTAGGTATTGATCACGCCCGTAGCTGCTGGGGAAACTGTTTCGATTCGGCTTCGGCTGGGCTGGGTTGGGTTGGGCTGCGGGCTCGCTTAGTATGTTTTGCAGGTAGAGAGGTAGAGAGGTAGGGAAGGGAGGTAGGGAGGTAGAGAGGAGGATTTAATTTCAAGTTCAAATCTTCATTGCACTGGGCCAAAAATAACCTATTATTTGAGAGGCTTGTCGTCGAGGGTACAGACTGTGAGGCCTCTTTCGTGGGTACTGCTCGAGCCACTTATTTCTTTGGTTAATTCAGTAGAGAGAGCATATAAGAGGACTTATTTTATAATGATCGGGTGCTCCAGGGATTGCTTTGTACATGAACAGACGAACTTTGGTTTATTCTGGATGTTATGATGTTTTTTATGTATGGGGGATTTGTAACTTGTATGATCACAGAATATCTTGCCCCTTTACATAAATACATACCGGTCTTGGTAGGGAGCCCGACAAATTGGCTGCAAACGGATCCGGACGAGATTGAGCCGAAAGCGTGACTTGGGCGCATTCCAAGCCCGCGTCAACTCATGCACCGCCGCCGCAGCCTATCAGACGCACGTGCCCCAACTCTCCACTTTTGTTTTCTTAAAAAGAATGAAATCCCCCCAGCCCGAATACCAGCGGCGCACGGTAGCGAGAACAAACCAAAAAAAGAAACGAGACCACCCCCCAATCGAACCCAACCCGGACCGCCGCAAATTAGTTTATCCGAACTGGCTCTGCTGGCTCTGCTGACTAAGGAAGCTAGCACCTTCCTTCCACCTACCAACCGTGACGAGTGGAGACGGACCGACGAAATCCAACATCCCTGTCAGTACCTATCGCGCGTCAACCAAGCACGTTAAACCAACAAACGGACGAGATTGCTATTCTGTATACGCGCACTCCTCCATCACGCTGCGAACCACCGAGATATCGACGAGAAGAGAGAGGAGAGCATACTTGCGACGCAGAGATACAAGGTGAATACCTACTGGTGCGGGAATTTGGGGGAGAAGGCGTTGGCGCAGATGCACCTGGTACTTCACGCGCCATCTATGCAAGCTTCCAACAAGCTTGAGCCACGAGTGTACGTCCTCTGGCTTAGTGAAGATGCTGCTCTGTGTACTGATGGAGCTTGCGCGAGCTGTTGCAGGCTTGTCAGGCTGCGCGTTGACTCGGGCGGTCCCTGCTTGCTTCCCTCTATCTGCGTCCTCCCCCACCCACCTCTTCACTTTCGAACATTGGCTAAATTGTTGTTATGTTTTTCCTTATAGTGAATACAGAAAACCTGGATCTGCATGACCACAAGAAAAGCGATATCCCGACGGAGGACCAGGACACAAGATGGGCAAGCTACTGAACCTCGGGGCGCGGCTCAAGTACCCGCTCACCATTATCAAGCTGCTCAAGAAGCCCGGCGACGAAATCAAGAAGCTCGAGCCCATCCTCGAGTATAGTTGGCCGCGCATCGTCGTCGTCGGTGACACAACATCTATGGAAGAGGGCGCGCAATGGACCAAGGCAGAGACGGCGTACGGCATGTGGGAGAGTCCTACAGAGGGCAGCCTCAAGTCGTGGAAGGTGAAGGAAGGTATGGTCATCGAGCGGGACATGCGATTCGTAGACATCGAGGAGACGTGCCCGCATAGTGTGCAGTTCCAGGGCCTGTGCGGTATGTGTGGAAAGGACATGACGGAGGTGACATTTGCGAGCTTCGGTGATGATACCGCGCGCGCGAATATCAACATGATTCATGACCATACATCGCTGAAGGTTAGTCAGGACGAGGCGTCGAAGGCGGAGGATGAACTGCAGCGACGGCTGCTGAAGCATCGGAAGCTGTCGCTGGTGGTGGATCTCGATCAGACGATCATACACGCGTGTATTGAGCCGACGGTGGGGGAGTGGCAAAGGGACAAGAACTCTCCAAACTACGAGGCTGTTAAGGATGTCAAGAGCTTCCAGCTGAATGATGATGGACCCAGGGGCCTAGCGTCAGGATGCTGGTACTATATCAAGATGCGGCCTGGTTTGGCGGAGTTCTTGGCACATATCTCGGAGCTGTACGAGTTGCATGTGTACACGATGGGTACGCGGGCCTACGCTATTAATATCGCCAAGATCGTCGACCCGGACAAGAAGTTATTTGGAGATCGGATCATTAGCAGAGATGAGAACGGAAATGTGACGGCAAAGAGTCTAGCGCGACTGTTCCCGGTGGATACGAAGATGGTGGTTATCATCGATGATCGGGCGGATGTGTGGCCACAAAACCGACCGAACCTGATCAAGGTAGTTCCATACGATTTCTTCCTGGGAATTGGAGACATCAATTCGAGTTTCTTGCCGAAGAGAGAAGAGTTACCGCCGATGCAGTCTATTATCAAGAAAAAGACGTCGAAATCTGAGCTGAAGTCAGCCCAAACAGGCGAGGACGGAGATACTTCCAACCTCAAGGAAGCCAGCCCCGAGGCCGTCAAGCTTGCCGAGCCAGAGCCAGACGAAGCCAAGAAGGAGGGCGAATCGAAGATTAGTGCCCTGGAGGAGCTGGTGAGGATGGGAAGTGGCGACGACCAAGCTCTGCGACTTGAACAAGCTGCCGAGCAAGAGAAGTTCCTGGAGAAACAATTGACGGATCGGCCACTGCTCCATATGCAAGAGAAGCTCGAGCAAGAGGACAGTGAGGCCCCGGCCCAAGATACGCCAAAAGGCGAGGCGGCACCCGAACAACCTCAACACAAACACAACCTGCTTGTCGATAACGATGTGGAGCTCAAGTATCTGGAGCAACATTTGACTCAGGTGCACAAGGCGTTCTATGAGGAGTATGACGGTGCATTGGTTAATGCTCATGGAGGTAGGGTTGCACAGTTGAAGCCGGGACACAACAAGAAGATGTCAATCAAGACTAGTGCGGCAGATCTCAAGATAGTGCCTGATATTGGACAGGTCATGCCACGGTTGAAGTAATTATCCCAAACCCTCCAGCTAAGAGCTCCTTACTAATATGAAACAGGACAAAGACATTAGAGGGTTGCACAATTGTGATGTCAGGCCTCGTACCGCTACAAGCAGATATCATGAGGTATTCAAGCTCTTTTCATTTGCCCCAAATTTTGCATGATCAATTTTTTTGCCATATATTCTCTCGTACCATATGCTCTCATATCAGACACTTACGGCGGATTAGGACTGAGATTGGATTACAAGTTGTTAGCTTTGGCGCGAAAATTCAGGCGAAGGTCAACCGCAAAGTGACGCATCTCGTAGCTTCGACGAGTAGGACCCGTACGCACAAAGTCCGGCAGGCGGCAAAGTACCCGAACATTAAGATTGTGAACCAGCAGTGGCTGCTGAATTCTATGAGTAAGTGGAAGAAGGAGGACGAGACCCCTTACTTGGTAAGCTTAGGCCCACCCACCCGAAGAGAAAAACCTGACATGGATAGGTGACCATCCACGAAGCCGATCGCGTGCGTTCTTCAGGCTTCGACTCCAACTCCAGTACAGCCTCCTCCGTTGACGACTCTGACTCTAGTTCTTCCGAGGGCGGTAACGAGGACGGTACCGAGGATGGGATCGACGACGCGCCTAGTAGCTCGCAAGATGAGACAGTCGAAGACTTGGAAGGCGTGATGCCAAGCGATATGGAAGAGGGACGCAGCCCAATCGAAGACCTTCAGCAATTCAACTGGGGAGAAGCAGATGATGAATTAGCAGAATTCATGAATTCCGACTCGGAGGGCGAAGAAGGCGATTCAGACTCCGGGAGCGAGAGTGACACCAGCCGAGCGAGCGACGCGAGTAAGCGGAGTCGGCAAGGCAAGAAGCGATACCACGACGAAGCCACGGAAGATGGGGAGAGTGAAGAAGAGAGCCAGCTGGCGAAGAAGCAGCGCATTGCCAAGGAGAGGACGACGGGGCTCGCAAGTGGTGAGGTTTTGGGACTCGAGGAGAGTAGTAATAGTCTGTCGACGCCGGCTGCGGATGAGGACGAGAATGTGGATGAGGATGTGGATGAGGATGTGGATGAAGATGTGGATGATGGCTGGGGAGACGATTTGGAGGCTGATCTTGAGGCGGAGTTTGCAAGGGAGGCGGAGGAGCAAGCGAAGAGTGCTGCGGATGCGTCCGCTTGACACGAGTGATGCTGAGGGGAGGGAGACGGGGGGTGGGGGAGGGTTACATTCTTGTCTACGTTTTGAAGCGGCTTTTTTTCCCCTGAGATTTTGACAGAGGAGCACACGCACGGGGGAGGGAGAGGATGAGATACATATCGCATGTTTCCCGTTAGAGCGGGCTGGTGTTCCGGAGCTTGCTATCGTCAAGGGACAGACGGACGGATGGCTGGCTGGCTGGATGGATGGATGGATGGATGGATGGATGGAAAGAATCACGGACGGCGTAACTTTGTATTTCTCTGTCCATGTTTTGGATGGATGGATGGCTGGGTGCGCGGCTTGCTTTGGATGGGATGGGGTTTCGGTCCATGGGCTAAGCAGAAGACGCATAAGCATAGGACAAGAAAAGCAAAGCATAGGACAGCACAGTACAGCATGGCATGGCTAAAGCATATAGGGCAGGCGTCGTAATTTTTCGTGAGCGATAACCTGAGAGCTCGAAAACTTGGGTACCTGGCCTAGCCTACGGTAGCTTGCCTAGCTAGCATGCAGGAAATGGAGAAAGATCCCTTTTTACCATCCTTCGTACTGACTGGTATTGGTTGGTTGTTGGTCCGTCTCGTGATATAAATCATATCCTGCCGCTACTACTATTAATATTACTATTAGCACTTCATGACTTTGAGCAGCTATGTATGTATATATGTAAGTATATACTTACCAGCCTGCCTAACGGAGAACGGAGATGCAGAGGGATGTGTGTGTGCTAGCCAATCCAATTCAATTCTCACTGTACGGAGTTGGCTTGGTAGGCTTAGTCAGCTCAGCTCAGCTCAGCACTCCACTTTTACCGCACCGTACCGAGCCGGAGCCTCAATTCCAATTCGAACTTCAACCTCAACCTCAAGCATTGCCAGAGAGAAGAAAGAGGAAAACCACGCATACACGCACGCACGCGACGCACAAACGGACGAAAGCATCGATAGATTGAGCGAGAGACGGGAATTCGGCACGGTTAAAGCGGGGAAATAAATTCCGAAAAGTGGGAGGTGAAAGAAGAGGGATAGAGGATTGAAAGGACGAGAGAAGACAGAAGGATTGGCGAGAGAGATAGGAAAGGGAGAAGGATACGATACGATACAATGCCTCAAGATTTGCCGCCTCAGGGGGGGTACGAGCCTGTGCAGTATAAGGTGCGTGATTTTATGGGTTTCCTCTTTTTTTGTGGGAGGGTTTCTTGTGTCTTGTTGGTGGAGGGGATGAGGGGGAGTGGTGAGGAGGATGACAGATGGGATGAGGGTGTTGGAGGAATAGCTGTTGAGAGGGATGGAACTCGATTCGATTCGACGAGCTAGATGGAGCACAAATGGCGGAAGAGCAAACATGAAGCGCGGGGTGTGCGGAGGGAGACTGGAAGATTGGAAGAAACATGCTGACGGACTGTGTGTGCACGGCAGAGGAACCTCCCCGCGCGCGGATTCCGGCCCTCGGTCATGCTGGCGGCGATGTTTGGCATGATGGGCTTTGGCTTCTACAAGGTTGGCAAGGGGATCCGAGAGCAGAAGTAGGTTCTATATTACACCATTCCATCATACTCCCATCCGTGTTAGTATGCACTTGGGATTGGTTAGGGAGATGGGAGGGGGAAGTCTCAGATCAGGCTAGGCTGGGGATTTGGGGATGGGATGGGTCGGGATGAGTCGAATTGGATTGAATACTGATCTGGGGTATAGTGAGCTTGCCCGCGAGAAGATGTGGTCAAGAATCCACCTCATTCCTCTTTTGACGGCGGAGGAGGATCGCGATCTGGTGAGGAGGCATTACGCGGATCAGGCGCGGGAGAAGGCGTTGCTTGGGAGCGAGACGAGCGCTTATAACTCTGATCGGTATGTTTTGCATCTATAGGGGATATTTGCAGTATCCTGCAGCCGCGAGTAAAGTTCGGGGATAGGCAGGGGATTTCGTATCTGGGGAATGCGATGGATGAGATGTGGAAGTGGGCTAATGCGTGGGTGTGTAGATTCGTACGTCCTACTTTTGCGGTTACCCCGAGTCAGATATCGAAGTAGAGTCTTGCTTTTGGTGGATAGGGACGAAGAGATGAGAGGTGCTTAGGCTTAAGTGGCTGAATGTGAAGTCAGGCTGGAGAGAAGGGCGTTGTACACATTGTATTAGGAAATAAGGCAAGAATCACCGATTGATCTGAAAGTAGTTCGCAGGTCATACACAGCACTCGTTTCTTTCGAATCTGTACCGCAATTTCTTTTTAAGCAGTAAGTAGTGAGTGCTGCCAACTTTTCCCCCAAAGGCAAAGGCATAAGGCATATAAGCGAGAGTAAACATCACATCTGCAAGCGATTCCAAGCCTCACACCCACATCACTCACTCACACCCAACTTTTCTTCCCCTCCTCCTCAACATCCAGGATAATCAATCATTCTCCAACACCACATTCTCCACATCTGGAAACCACCTCGCCAAACCCGCCCCACAACCACCCTGAACCTCCTCCTGCCTCCCCTCCCTCACCATCCGCATCAACACCTCGTGATTCCCACACTCGACCCCGACCTCCCGCGCCCGGCGCACCAGATAACCCGTGATGTACTCGATCTCGGTGGGCCTGCCGGCCCGCACATCCTGCAGCATGCTACTCACGTTGCGGGCCGTCTTGGCGCCCACGGCGGCCACCGTCTCCCGCAGCCGGCGCGGGGCGAAGCGGGCACGTGTCCCGGCTGATGCGGCTTGCAGTTCGGGGAGGGCGAGCAGGATGGTGGAGGACTCGGCGACAAGGAGGTGGATGAGGGCGAGTGTGCTGGTTGAGCTGGTTGTGCTGGTGGGGTTGAAGAAGAGGTCGCCGTTGGGGAGTTTGAGGAGGGCTGTGAGCGGGTTGATGCAGGCGTTGACGACGAGCTTCTCGAGCTGGAGGGGGAGGAGCTCGTGCGCGGGGACGGCGGTCGCGTTTAGGGTTGGGCTGGCTGTGATGTGGTCGAGGAGGAAGTGCCGGGTGTCGGAGTCGGAGTCGGGGTCGGAGTCGGGTAGCCTCTCTTTCTCCTTTGTGGTTTTGGTGGTGGTGAGCCGTGAGGTAGGGGGGGATACGGTGCCGATAGTTATGTTGGCCAGTCCGGCGTGGACGCTGTGGAATGGTCCTCGGGAGTACACGCCGTGGCTTGTTACAGCCGCTAGATACCTCGGCCGGGTCGACGGATCCGGGAAGTAGGTCTCGTTTACCTCTTCCAGCGCGCCCATCCCGTTCTGGGCAAATAGGAGCGTGGACTGGGCATTCAGACGGTGGGCGATGGGTCGGAGGGCGCTGACGGTGTGGGGGGCTTTGGTGGTGATGATCAGGTTCTTGATGGTGGAGTTGGTGGCCTGGTCGGTGGGCTCGATGCTGTAGTTGGATGACTGGGAGGTTATGCAGTTATCCCGGGACGGATTGGAGAGTGTGTCCCTGGTGGTGGTGATTCGGATCTTGGAACCTGCGGCGGCCCATTCTGCGAACAGGCTGGGCCGGTGGAAGAGGAGGGTTAATTTCGGCGGCGTTGGTTGGATAGCGAGCTTGCAGGTTGTTAACGGCTGTTTGCTATGCTATCAATTCTATCTTAACGTTTACGGAGAATGTGGTAGGTGTGAACCAACAGACAGAGATCTGTATCAGCAGGGCCTTGAGGAGTACCAGCTAGACGAGAAGGTCTATTTACTTACAGCGTGGGCGAATAGCCGACCGAGGTTCCCCAAGCCCAGGATGTGGATTGGGGGGTTGGATAGGGACATGGGTGCCATGGATGTCATGGAGAGACCCTGAGGCGGCCGGATAAATGGAATGAATCTCTTTTACTGTTTCGATATTGTGCAACTAATAGTCAGTGCACTGACTTTGTGACCTGCGGGCTCTCGGTCACAGTCAGGACAAGCAAGTGTCCCAGGTCAAGCAAGTGTCCCATTTCAATTATTTCAACTTGTATTAGATATAACTTAGCAACGAATATTGCTATGATATTCAAAACTAGATGCATAGATCGGCGTAATCGAGATCTTTAAAAGTCTAACCAAGTATAAAATATTTTTATTAATAATTTAATAATAAATAGAATAAATAATGTTTGATTATCGATTGAATTTGATTGAAAATCAAATATTTTGTATTAAAAAATCTATGTTTTTGAATATTAATCGTCTTTTGAATTGAGCTTTGATATAAAAATTTGATATTTAAAAAATTCTTAATCAAGCGGACTCGTACCATTTAGCTTTTTTATTATAACTTGTATAATTATTATTTTG